AAGAAATGGGGAAATTAAAAGCATTTATTAATTTATTATATGGCTTTAGTCCTGAATTAACTGAATATGCAGAGAATTCGCCACATAAAAAGATGGCTCAGGATATTGTTGAAAGATCAATGGAAGTCCTTGATGCCATAAAGAGTGTTTTTTGCGGAAATCCTAAAAAGCAAAGTAAGCAGATTTTGAAGCAGTTGTTACAGAAAGACATGGAGCTTGTAAGACAAGCCATGAAGGAAAAAAGAGCCTCTTAAGATACATTTACTCCTTGGTATTGTAGGTTTTTAAGAACAATCAAGAGGTCTGGTTTCTTAATTGTAACAGCAATTGAAATACACCTGTAGCCATTTTCATGCCTGAAATTAAATGTTTGTTTTTAAATATTGTTTTCGTTTTTTTCTTTGAATTGACATCTATTATTAAAGATTAAGGAACAAATAATTAATTTAACAGTTGTATGTTAAAGATGATTTCAGAAACTTCTGTTCTTATCATTGGATTAACTGAACAACTATTTACAGTTCTTGCTGTTCTACGCTTTTCTTACTGAATTCTTACCTGGATGAATGACCGCAAGATTAGTGTCTAGGAAGTGGGCAAGTGCTTCTGGGGTTGATGGTTATTCACTGTTGTTTCTTCTCAGGAAAGGAACTCAGGAGTTATTTGTGGACAGCTATGTTGCTGATAGCATCATTAATCCATACCTGATAGGATAAAAATTCTTGTACATCGGATAAGTGTTAAACAAATTTGGAAGCCTAAACAGATGGAAATAAAGTGTGAAACGCACCCTTTAAGACACTAAAATTCAAGATGAATAATGTAATCCCAGGACAAAAGATTCTACGGAAAGCTCGTTTGAAACATTAACAAGATTTATGCTCATGTAGAACACAAATTATTTTGTGTGCTTTTGCAGTGTTACTCGGTTCAATGAATTAGTGAAGAACAAATCAATCGAACAAGCAAACAAGCCTCCTTTTTCGATTGAAAAGTGTTATCTGAAGTAATTATGTTTTGGCCTCCCCTGAGTTGCTTTTGCATTTAGCTAGTCAGCAACACCTGTTACAGGAGTGTGGCATAAATTTAAGCAAGCCCCTCGTGGACAGGGGAGCGCGACTGGCTGCTGCAGAGAAGGTACCGAAGGCTACACGGCGATATTTAGTTCCGTGTGTTTCATTATGTCTTTTTTATGTGTGTCAAAAAGAAGTTCTGTGAATTATTTTGGGAAGGTTTCAAGGAGTTAGACAAAGAAGCCGCTGGCACGAAAATTTCAGGTAATCCATTCCTATCTTTTGCAATGCATTTTGAATTTCGTGTCTGAATTATCCATTTATTTTAAGTCTTTTTTCTTCAGAATAAATGTGATTTGATTCAGCTGAGATGAGTGAGAGAAAACTGCATACAGCCTTTGGGGAGGAAGTTTTAATTCTCCCAATTCAGTGATTTGAGCAAAGTTCAAAACCGCCTCTTATTTGGACATTTTCCACGAGAAGGAAAACGGAGCACATTTATTTTGTAAAACGTTATTACTTGACTTTATGAGAAGATTTTTCACACGACCTAAATGATCAAAATGCTTAAATAATTGAGTTTTTTAAGAACAAAAAATCAGTATCTTCTTTCTTTGATAACAGTGGCCGCCTTTCAAGCTACATAGATGTAAGGCAATTGATTTTGCATGTGCAAAATGATAGTCTTTGCAATATTTTCACTGCACAAAATGCCTCATTCTCTAAGTTGCTGCAGCTTTCAGCATGGAATGACTTCCCGATTTGTCATCCCACAGTATTTGGCTTCCCTCATCTGGAAAAGTATGGACCTGGTGTCTTCTGGGCTGGGTTAGATTTTCCAAAATGCTCAGCAGATCAACTGAGACACAAAATTGAAGTAGAAAATTACGGGTTTTTCACATGTCCATTTGCAGTCCCCTGTTCATAATAATGAAGTAGAGTAGCAATTTTATTTTAAGTTTGCTATTCTACAAGTAGAATTTGTCCAGAAAGGGGAGGAGAATTCTTGTGCTCTCTTTCTGAGAGATGGAAAATATGGATAATATGGCTCTGAAATTATACTAATTTAAGCAGCACACAATCCCCTGGGCATTAGGAACGAATTCATGGAGGGAATGTGGCAGTTAGAATATTCCCTGCTCACAGGCAGAATCTAATATAGTGTCTCAATGCTGTAAAAATGGCAATAAGATGAAAATGTATAAATAAGAATTGCATCATTTAGCTGTAAATTACACAGCAAGTACCAAGAGGTAAAATGTTAACCAAATTGGCTGAAATCAACAACAACAACAAAGAAAAATGCTTTCTCTAATCTCCTGACAATTACAGTGTGGAATGCAAACTCTGTCCATAAGATTCTCAGCTGGAGCGACAAATCATATGAAGATTTTAGTCACTGTTACCATTATTTGTTGAAATAACACGCCTGATTAAATTCACATTTGAGGGGGACCTTTGGGACGTTCCTTTGGGGTGGGTCCTTGTAGTCTGTATGATTCTGCTGTGGTGACTGAGCCAAAAGTGTGATGCAGTTGCAACAACAACAACAAAAGGCACATGCTAGTGATACGGTGTCAAGTTCAAGAGACGTGGTCATTCTTTGGTCATTCCAGCCCCAACATTAGAAGACTCTGCTTTCTTGCTCTCTCCACTCTATTATGGTTAACATTTCCAAAATTTGCAAATCGAATCACGGGATTGGACAGACGCTTCCCATGAATTACGTACTACAGTAATTTCTTACGGTTGCTGCAAGCTATAAAACCAAAGTGGAAAGTCCTAACCCTCTCAGAGGATCTGTCCCTTAGATTTGATGCAGTGTTAACTTATTGGTATTGTCTGTGTAATCTTACTGCATCCTCGGTTTTTCTCTTGAAGGTATGTGTGTGTGTGCGTGTCTGTAGAATGACCCTTCGTTTATAGAATAGGAACACCTGGAGAATCACAAACAGGAATGTCCGGGGTCGGGTGGGGGCGGGTGTGTGGAGTGAAAAATACCAAGAGGGCTGGCAATTTTGCGATCAAAGTCCCATATGGACTTCACATCCCTGGAAAAGAATGAGGAGGCTCAACCCTCTGGCAGCTGAGCTCCTTTCATCTGCCACCGACACACACACGTTTCATCTGTGGTATCACAATGCACAAAAGGGAGCCAACAAAAGATCTTAGAAGGCGATCCGATGAAATGGCCCAGAGCCATAAAGCTGGTACTGTCAGTTAACCTATCTAGTCAACAGTAGTCAAAGCAGCTCCAACTGAAGTGGGGTGGAGAAAACAGTAAGACTTAGACTTAAGGAACCTGAGACCTGCATTTCCCTCGGCACGGTCATTTCATTGCTGTGATTGTTTTTATTTCCAGTGTTAATGTTTTAATACTCTCCCAAGCCCCCAAACACTGCCTGGTGAGTGGGCATTAAATCAATGGGTTAGATGAATCTTAATAGCTTTGAAAGACAATCTCGGGATGCAGGATGCCCCCTATGAGGAACGAGGTAGCTTTCAGGTACGGAAGGATCCGAAAACTCCGCAGCCTCCATAAAGAGAAGAGACGCCCACCAGGTGACCAAGGAGAGCCTTCAACGTTGGTAGCCTTCCTGCAGTTGGCAGGGTTTTGCCAAAGGGAGCCCAACTGCTGGGATCCCATTGAAGGACAGCAGCTACTTGCCTTCTCATGACCAGGCTGCCATTGGGACCGCTTAGAGGGCGTGTTTGTTCATCCAGTTTCTATAGTTGCCCATCCCGGTAAATGATTCTGGGCGGCTTATAATGAAACATAACTTACAATTAAATCAATTAAAACATTAAAAGAAAAATAAAGGCGTTCCAAAATAAATACACGAAGCAGTCAAAGATACTAGGCCAGTTAACACTAAAGCCAGGAAATCGGCCCATTCACCAAGCTCAAGGACGCAGCCAGTTTTATAATCCATTCAGCTAGTGACTCTTATTTCGTCTGGACTAAGTTTCTAGTTACTGACCCTCAGCCTTGTCCGGGGCCAGCTAGCTATTTTGGCACGCGAGGCAAAGTCTCGGCACCCTACAGCTTTGGCCCCTCTCCCCGTTGGGTTAGGAATTTCCCCAAAATGGCCTCTTTTTTTCCTTTTTCCTTCAAGTTTTTGAGTTTTACACCAGGGGTGGGATTCCATTTTTTTAAACAACCGGTTCTGTGGGTGTGGCCCTCTATTTTTTGCAGCAGCAGCCCCCAGCTGTTTTTTGGGGGGGCTCCTGGGCCTCAGAAAAGCCTCGGGGGGGGCATTTTTGCTCCCAGGAAGGCAAAAAACAGCGGGGGGCACAGCAGCAGCCCCCCCCCCCCCCCCCCACACTCCCCCACACCCCTTTTTGCCTCCGGGGCCTCAGGGAAACCTCCTGGCGAAGCAGTAAGACAGCAAGGGGGATCCCAGCACAGCTGATCACCGGAATAGCTGATCGTTGGGAGGGGTAGATCTCTGAATGAATCTGCGATTCTGCGAGCAACACAACCTGCCTGCCTGCTTTGCCTGATTTGGGGTAAAAGTTGCTCTTTTTAAAATAAAAAAAAATCAATATTTATATCAATATTTAAAATATTTACATACAAGCTATTAATAAATAAATTAGGCCACGCCCACAGAACTAGTTAGTGGTCCCTGGGATCTAAAATTATGAGTTTGGTGGTCCAAAAGTTTGGTGACCCCATGATAGCCGTCTTCTATCTGAGGGACTATCAGGGAAAGGTGTTGGTCAACCTATTCTCCAAATCATCTGAGGACAGGATAAGAAGTGACGGATAGAAACTTACGAAAGAGAAATTCAACCTAGAACTAAAAAGAAATTTCCTGACAGTGAGAACAATGAATAAGTGGAATAAGTGCCTTCAGAAGTCGTAGGGGGTCCATCCCTGGAAGATTTAAAGAAGAGACTGGAGAATGGTTTGTCCAGAATCCCCTGAGTAGGAGCCCCTTCCAACTCTCTTCCTTTGCTATCTACCTTGTAGGACTAACAACCATGACCCTGGATGACAACGCAAAATGGCTCCTGTGGGTAGCCAAGCAGTTTGAGAATATCGCTGGTGACAATAAAGAAATCAGCCTGGAACAATTCAAAACGGCACTTAAAGTGAAGGAGGCAAGTTGGGTCTGACTGAGCTGTGTGGGGGGACAGAGCCGTACCGTGCCGGAATGACCACTGTTGCAAGCAAAAAGTACAGAGATGTTTTATTTCTTCTCTTCCTTGATAGAATTGACGAATTGATCCATGCATTTGATATGCTACTTAAAGTCGAGAGACCTGACGAAGAAGCAGAAAGGCGGGGGGAGGAGCAGATTTTTTTAAAAAAATATTTATTTATTCATTTATTTATTCAATTGATATAGCTGCCTATCTCACATGTGATTTTGAGCAACTAACAAGTGTAATACCTATATTGAAATAATTAAAACAATTAAGCAAAATATAAAAATGTGGGGAAGTGCCAACCTATAATCTGCAGAAAACACAGCCACCTTGCAGAGTCTCCATCCATGTACCACTGACCTTACCAGAAGACGAAGAAGCCGTAGAGCAGGGAAGCCATGACCCCTCAAATGGAAAGGCAAGAGAGCTGGTGGGAACACACCGGATGAGCCTTTTTGCTGGATGGGAGGGGTTTAAAACATGAGGTGGGCTTCTTCCTCTTGATTTGGACTCTACCCAAGCATCTTCTGTGTGTCTCTAATTTAACACTAAGGGACGCGGAGGCTCAGTGGTTAGGATGCTGAGCTTGTTGATCAGAAAGGTCGGCAGTTCGGCGGTTCAAATCCCTAGCGCCACGTAACAGAGTGAGCTCCCGTTCCTTGCCCCAGCTTCTGCCAACCTAGCAGTTCGAAAGCATGTAAAAAATGCAAGTAGAAAAATAGGGACCATTTCAGTGGGAAGGGAACAGCGTTCTGTGCGCCTTCAGCATTTAGTCATGCCAGCCACATGACCACGGAGACGTCTCCAGACAACGCTGGCTCTTTGAGATGGATATGAGCCCCTTAGAGCTGGAAACTACTAGCGTGTATGTGCAAGGAGAACCTTCACCTTTGCTCAATTTAACACTAGACAACCTGTGACCGCTGGGCTCACCGTTTCAGAGAGGATTCCTGACCAGATTCCTCAATGCCTTCAAAAAAGACAGAACTTCTAATGCACTGAAAAAAATATTTAAAATTCAGGGGGATATGATTGGAATAATCAGATGAGCTGTGGTGGCGCAGTGGTTAGAGTGCAGTACTGCAGGCTACTTCTGCTGCCCTGCTGGCTGCCTGATGTAGCTTCTTGGATGAGAAGCGAAATGTTTTATTCTTCCTCAAGGAAAAAAAACAATCCAGTTCCCTTTTGAAGAAAAAAAAAAGTGCCTTTGAGACAACTATGACATGGATGACTGAGAATCTCCACAAACAAGTCTCAAGGCCTCCCCACTAAGGCGAGTTTATAGAGTTGTATTTATCATGATCGGTAGTGAACACAACCACTGTCACTTCTCTACTTGAGAGATTTGATCACTTATTATTTCTAAATCAAGGCCTCAAGACAACAGAGACTTCTGGAGCTCGAGTCTCTCTCACCTCTGACTTCTCAAACCTTTCCTTCCTCTCTCACAGTCTTTTTTTGCCGAGCGGTTCTTTGCTTTGTTTGATTCCGACGCAAGTGGAACCATCAGCCTGGATGAGCTCCTGGAAACCTTAAAACTGCTGGTCCATGGGAATGAAACCGACAAGCTCCAATTCCTCTTCCAGGTCTACGATGTGGATGGTAAAATTCCAAATGGGTGAATCTGATAACCTGTGTTTTATCAAAATGAGGTTTTGATTTTCAGGTCCTTGTATGGCTGCCAACCATTGTGTATCATGGAATAGCCCCCAGCGCTCCTAATTTTGGAATGTTGTGTATTTTTATGAACAGATCTAGTGCCTTTGAGTGATCAACAAAACTTTGAGAAATTCAAGAAATGCCACTTCTAAATTGATGCAGAAACCCTTGTCATTTCTATGTCAAAAGATTCCAATTGTATCTGAGGCAGATCTTCAAAAATTGGGCTAAACCTTCATCATACATCGGTTATGGGATAGACGGCTCTTTTGCAAGATCAGCAGGGAGTTAGAATGTATTGGGAAAAGACAACGGATTGATTCTGAAATATGCAAAGAGTTTAATCTAGAGCAAGGGTCCCCAACCCTTGGGCCATGGACCGGTAGCATGAACCAGGCCGCATCAGTGGCAGGCGAGCGTGTAAAGCTTTATTTGCACAAGATTAGGTTGCCTGCATGAAACCATCCGCTCCCTGCCAGCCATCGCCACTGCCAGTGCATGGAGCTCAAAAGGTTGGGGACGGCTGATCTAGAGTCATCACTTGCGCTAAGATTAGCTTCCGTCTTTGGAGGAGATTGTTTTTATGTATTTATTTTATTGATTTGATTTGTCAATCACTTACAAGATAATAGGCACAAGTATAAACACGAGTAGGAATACAGGAAATAGGTACGAATAAATGGGGACAATAGGACAGGGACGGTAGGCACAATGGTGCACTTATGCACGCTCCTTACAGACCTCTTAGGAATAGGGTGAGGTCAATAGTGGATAGTTTGAGGGTAAAAGAGTACATCAAGGTCCCATCAATAGGCCCAATTTCTCAGTAATTTCTGAAGGTATATATAAGGAAGAAGGTTTTAAATGATATAATTTCCATATGATTCCATTCAATCAAAGATTAATTGCAGCAGTTATGCCTCTCTAAGTCTCAGAGGAAGAATCTATAGGAGGTATCACTCTAGTTCCTCCAGGGAAATGTCTTTGTTTTAGGTTGTATAGATACAATCTTCTCATGATCTGGCAAGGAAGCAGAATCTACTGGCTTTGATTTCCTGCTCCACACATTCTGCCCATTGACTTCTTCCTCCTCCTCCTCCTCCTCCTCCTCATAAGAACATCTTAAATCTGACCGGTCATGGGAATTTACACCAAGCCAAGTGGATTTGTTTTCTTATAGGTGGTGGCTCCATTGAACCCGATGAATTTCGCATGGTCTTAAAAGCCTGCCTGAAAGAGAGCTCAATCTCTTTGCCTGAAGAGAAGCTGGATGACCTGACAAGGGCTCTATTTGAGTCAGCAGATTCCGATAAAAGTGGATCCGTCACCTTTGAGGAGCTGAGAAGGGAACTGCAGAGTTTTCCAGAAATCATGGAGAACTTAACAATAAGGTATTTTGAATCCAGTCAACATCAGTCATTTCCGATGAAGGACGTTTCACACTCTGTGTCATCCTAGTTCTATTGATCTTTCAAGAGTGTGAACATTATTTGCAAACTTCAGCTGGCTCATCCAGTCCTTTTTGTTTCTGATACTTATATCTGAAAACCTAAATGGCTTCAGGTAAGTGAGAGAACATCTGTTGCTCCGCATCCAAATTCATCGGTCTAAATTAGTAAGACTTCAAAATGGCTACCTGCCTCGCCCTTGGGGGAAGAGTGGTCTCTGGGCTTATTTGTGTTGAGTATCCCTCTGGATGCTGAGAAGCCTCGAAAACCCCTCTCTCTCCTTTCTCTTTCAGTGCTGCAAGTTGGTTAAAGCCGCCCACAGCTCCCCGGAAGAGCCAAACCCCCCATATCTTGAGTCCTGTGTATTGGCACAACAACAAGAACAAGCTCCTTCTGCTGGGTAGCTATGCCTGTGTGAACATCATCCTCTTCATCTTGGCTGCCCTAAAGCAGGCCGGCTCGGGCATTTGGATCGGGGTGGCCAGAGGCTGTGGGCAGTGCCTGAATTTCAACTGCGCGTTCATACCGGTGAGGAACTGGGCTGCACCTCACATCCCAATCTGTCAAGCCTGTTTATCATCAGGGGAAGTTGGAGCAGGCTGTCAGGAGGAAAACAACGGCGTAACCCTTGTTTACTAGGAAATCCAAACTTCGTTTTAAATGATAATTTTGCCTTAGCACATTTTTGCCCAGAACGTTGCATGCACCATTTTTTTAAAGGATGATGAAACTTTTTCGATTCCTAGAGATGGAGACATCTTTATAACAGAGCGGTCATTCCTGGACAGTTCTGTTGGGAACTTGGAAAGGACGCATGACAAAATGCCTTCAGTGCAAAGTCACAGGCCTTGAACTGTATGTGCAACTGATCAGAAAATGCTCGTTTTCTCACTCCCCTATTTGCCTTCCTGTGGGTGGCCACCAGCACAGTACCTCTGGCACAGGTGGCAAGCAGTCTTGGTACCCCATTTTTTGTTTTCCAGAAATGGGGATACTGACAGACTTTCCTTGAAATGCAGATGAGGCTGGTGCTTTACTTTCCAATTTTAATTGGAAGAACAAATCCCCACCCTCACCCTAGACCCAGGAGCGGGCTTCAAATAATTTGACAACCGGTTCACTGCTTGGTTGCTGGGTGGGCATAGCCATGGCCATGGTGAAAGTGACCTAGTCAGCCACCTGCACCACCCTGGTTGTGAACATGGGCCACGTGGGGACTCCTGGGAGGAGAGGAGAAGGGTGGGCAGGGCCAGCCCGGGTGGGATTGGCCGATTCCATCTCTGCAAGTCTTTAACAAGTCTTTAAAAAGTTGCCAAGGTTAGAGACCCTTGCTATTGTACATTTCTTTTTCAAGGTTATTTCCCTACTCTGCTGTAATATCTTAACTGATGCATTGTTGGCCCCCAATTCAGCTCTTTTCTCACCCTCCATCTCCCGTCCCCAGGTCCTCATGTTACGCCGATCTCTGACTTGGCTAAGGACCACCTGGGTAGCCAAAGTTTTGCCCCTGGACCTGAACCTCGTCCTGCATCAGCTGATGGGCTACATGGTGGGGGCTCTAACTATCCTTCACATGGGAGCTCACATCATCAATTTTGGTAAATGCTGCTCAAATTTTCTGTTTCATATTGTTTTTCTTCTATTATTTAATGGCTTTCATTGCTGTGCCAGAGCACTTTATAAAAAGTATTACACATTTAAAATATACATAGAAAAATAAACATCCCCCGATTAAAAACCACAAATATCAAAAAAAACAACGCAAATGTACAGCAAGTTCATGTTGTGTCTGAATTTTTTTTCCAATAACAAAGTTGTCTATCCGACTAGAGACTAATTTTGCAGCTTATGGTGCCATCACAAAGAAGTCTCACTTAAGATGTCACCTGTCCCCTTAGTAATATGTTTGACTGGCAGCCAGCAAAGCTTTTAAGCACCTGGTCCTAAAGTCATGAAGGTTTTAATAGTCAGAAACAGCATTCTGAATTTGGGACCAAAAAGGGACCAGGAGCCAGCATACCTGAGCAACCCAGCATGTGGTTTTTAGACTACTAATTGTAGTTTGTGAGCTGTTTTCAAGGTCAGGCCATTGCACTAGATCAGGGGTCTCCAACCTTGGCAACTTTAAGCCTGACGGACTTCAACGCCCAGAATTCCCCAGCCAGCAAAGCAAAGCTGCCTTGGGAATTCTGGGAGTTGAAGTCCGCCAGGCTTAAAGTTGCCAAGGTTGGAGACCCTGCACTAGATCATTAGAGTTCTTGGCAACTTTAAGACTTGTGGACTTCAACTCCCAGAATAGCTGACTGGAGAATTCTGGGAGTTGAAGTCCACAAGTCTTGAAGTTGCCAAGTTTGGAGACCTCTGATCTAGTTCAACGGCTGGGGCCTCTTTCCACATTTGTCACTGACTCTTAGTAGCGTACCTGGTACAGGTAATCCTTAACCTACGACCATAACTGAGCCCAAAATTTATGTTGATAAGCGAGAAAGTGGTTAAGTGAACTTTGCCCCATTTTACAAACTTTCTTGCCACTGTTGTTAAGTGAATAACTGCAGTTGTTAAATTAGTAGCATGGTTGTTAAGTGAATCTGGCTTCTCCATTGACTTTGCTTGTCAGAAGATCACAAAAGGGGATCACGTGACCTTGGGACACAACCGCCATAACTGTGAGTCAGTTGCCAAGCATCCAAAATTGGGCCATGTGACCCCAGGGATGCTACAATGGTCAAAAGTGTGAAAAAAGGTCATAAGTAATTTTTTTCAAGGCTGTTGTAACTTTGAATGGTCACTCAATGAACTGTTGTAAATTGAGGACTACTACCGCTTGGTCACTTATATTCAAATCAAAGCTAATGTTCAGAGGTTGAATTACTTTTAAAAATCTAGATTTTGTTTCCTTTTCTATCAATTGAATGCTTTTTTTCTTTTTCTTTTTAATTAATAACTTTATTAAAGTTTACAATACAGAGGTAAAAAAACTAATGCAAACAAAAGAAAACATAAACACTAAAGAAAATAAAAATAAATGAAAAATACAGAAAAGGCAGAAAACATGAAAGGTGACTCTCCCTCTCTCTGGACAAGTGTAAACAATTTGGTTAACTTAATGCCGACTCTAATACATCAATTAAAAAAAGCGCTTTTTCCTGTATCCCATTCTCTTGCTGTATCAATAATCAAATTACAAACAAACAATTGTAATTTATTTTTACAAATACATTTCATAATTTATTTCACTCCTAATCAGCAAAGGTCTATTAAGAGCTACCAGAAATATTAACATATATATTTTAATCCTAAAAAAATAATAATTCAGTGTTATAATCCAAACTTATCACTTGCTCTAAAAAAAGTTAATCAGAAGAGATCATCTCCTCTCAGATATACTAGTCTTTAAAGGCTCATCATGCCATACTGGTCAAAAAGAAATCCCATAAACAACCACCAGAAACTAAAACAGGAATATTTTAATCTTTATCCAATAGATCCACTTTATAAACCTCCTTTCATTTTGGAAACCTTGATCCTTAGTCCCATCAAGTCTGGTCTCACAAGTGGACTTCTTATCATTGTCCATTTATCTCCTTCTATCAACAGCTTCCTCTTTGTGTCTTCTCAGAAACAGCTTCTCTTGTTAATCCTTTAAATTTATTCAGAGTTTATTTCTTCCAGGTTGGAAGGGAGATCTCCCAGGGTAGTACAATTTGTTCTTCAGAAAGTTCTTAACTCCAAAGAAATCTGCAATGTGCAACTTTCTAGCATAACCGAGAGAGGAAGCAAGCAAGCTCAGATCTCTGTGAAAGATTCCGAGTGTAGCTTAAGCAAGTGGAAATATCTCTCGGGTCCCCAGGCCTCTCCAACCTGCTGGAGAGCAGAGTTTGGCCATTGCTTTTCCTGCACAATCTCTCAGGAGCCAGACGTGGACAATCCTCGTCTTCGCCTTAATCTGGAGAGGAGTTATGAGAAGCCGATCTCTTCGCTGCTCCTATTTCAGTCACATTCATTGGCTTTGCAAAATGCAGCCGAAGGCTAGTCCTATATTTTTCTTTTTATCTATTTCAAACCACATTTAGTTTCGATGCAAATTTTATTTAAGGGGTAAGTAACCACAATGTAGTAGTAGTACATGGTGCACACACAGTTTGCGGTTGAATAAACAAACTTGTTCCCTGACCAATTAGGGCCTGTTTATAAGTGTTCAGGAAGGAGGTTCTAGGTTTAGATGATGAAGAAGGACGAGCCTTCGATGTGCCTAGCAGCCTTCAGGGGTGGCCAAAAATAATGTGGTTTATGGCATTGATCATGAAGGTGGTTGACCTTCGGTAACAGCTGTTAGTTGGAAAAGGTATTACCGCACTGCTGAGCCAAGGCTACAAAGACAAATAGGACTCTCTGCCTATCCTATTTTTTTCCCTGGTCTTTGCAGCTTTTCTCAATTACAGAAAATGGCGCATAAAATTGTGAAATATTTGTGGAGATGTGGAAATGGCGGTGGAGAGATGATATGGGAGATAGAGAGAATAGAGATAGTGTGTGTGTGTGTGTGTGTGTATAACCTCTTTCTGCACACTTTCTGCCTTTATTATGTACTTTGCCAGGTATATAATTGTTATCAACAGGTTTTACGCTGCTTTGGTACTGAGCTTTAATTAAAGAACTAAAACGCTACTTTTCAAAAATTGAAATGACGGCTTAAATGACTCAATGAAAAACTGCTTACGTGCAAATTGTCATCATGACGCAAAAGGCTGTTTTAGGGAGTCACTTATTCGGTCTTTCCCTTCACCACAGCGAGGCTGTCTCAGGCCCAAGGAGGGTATCATCTCTGGGAATACCTGTTCACCACCCGGCCTGGCATTGGATGGATTCGCGGAACTGCCTCTCTGACGGGCCTCCTCCTGCAGCTCCTCATCTCCCTGATGCTGGTGTGTTCCACCACCCTGGTCCGCAGGAGTGGACATTTTGAGGTGACCTGCTCAGCCTCCCCTTGCTTATTTTGCCCTTTGTTCATCCTGCAAAGGGAGGGGGCGCACGGTGGTTCAGCAGGTAAGACAATGGGCTTGTTGGCTGGAAAGCCAGCAGTCCAGGTTCGAGACCCAAAGGCCACACAATGAGGTGAGCTCCCATCCTTGCCCTGGCTCCGGCCAACCTAGCAGTCCCAAAGCATGCAAGTGTGAGTAGATAAATAGCTACCACTCAGGTGTGGGATTCAAAGTTTTTAACAACTGGTTCTGTGGGTGTGGCTTAGGTGGTGGGCGTGGTCATGTGACTGGGTGGATATGGCTTAGTGATCATGTTATTGGCTGGGTGTGGCCAACTCAACACCACTCACATCGAGGCACACATCTCCTCGCCTGGCCTCTCATGACTGTGGGTATGCTGCAACAGTTGTAAGTGTGAAAAATGGTCATAAGTCACTTTTTTCCGTGCCATTGTAACTTTGAATGGTCCCTCCACACAAGCAAAGTACCAGCAAAGGAGGGGGGAAAAACTCCAGAGAAGTTCCTGAGACAGGAAGTCTAGTCCTGCCAAGAATGTAATAAGGGTTAACGGAGAGGCAGTTTCTGTAAGCAACACCAGAATGTTTCCTTCCTGCCTTCCTTACAGGATTAGCCCAGTAATTTCTCCTAACAACTGGTAGAATCCCACCCCTGGTTCCACTTCAGAGGGAAGATACCAGCACCCCTCGATGTCATGATGGCCTTGTAAATGTCTTTGGACAGCACTGACTCAATGGCCTTGAAACGGAGAGGAGCACCGCTCCCCATAGCCTCCCCATTTGCACAGTACTTTGCTTGCTAGTTTGCCTTGCTATCCAGAAGGAGGTCCAGATATTTTGCCGAAGGGAGGCCTTAGCAGCAAAATGCAGCCTTGGAAAAAGCATGAGGCCCAAACCAAGGAAACTAGTTTGATGGAGACAGTGGGTTCTAGGCCTCCCTTAGGTATTAATGTTGGCTGGGTAACTTTGGACCAGTCTCTTCCCCTCCGTTCAGTCTACCTTACAGGGTTTTGGTTGTGGAGGAAGTAGGAAACAGGAGTGTTGACAAAAATACTCAATAGGTAGATTAAAAATGCCAAATCCAGTCTAAACAACTGGTTGACTGTGTGACTAACCATCATAATAGTAATAATAATAGTACCAAAATTTCTGGAGCAGTACTTGGACACCTTTGGCCTTGACAAAATCACCATTGGTCAATGAAAAAAGGCAGCCTTACTTGGAATAGCTTGCAACTTGCCTGTCCTTGGGAAAGGCTAAATAGGTGGGTGAAAATGCCAATCCAGTTTGAACTATTATCTGGCTATATGGACGATGATGATGATGATAATAATAATAATAATAATACAAAGATAGAATTGAGAGGACAGCAACAGGTAGCAAGTGCTGCCTCTGCAAAGAAACTGAAGAAACAGTGGAGCATCTGGTTCGCGGCTGCAAGAAGATCGCAGAGACTGACTACAAGCAGCGGCATGACAAAGTAGCACAACTTGCATTGGAAGATCTGCAAGAAATGCCATTTGCTTGCAAGCAAGACCTGGTGGAACCATAAAATAGAGAAAGTCATAGAAAATGAAGAAGCTGAAGTGTTCTGGGACTTTATCATTCAAACAGACAAGCACCTGCCACATCATACCCCCAACTTAATTGTCGATAAGAAACACACACAAAATCTGGACAATGGATGTGGCAGTACCTGGAGGCAAGAGAATAGTAGCCAAATCCAGTCTGAACATCTGGCTGACTGTGTGACGAACCATCATAAAATTGAGGAGTTTGCTTTGAAAAATGTCTTGTTTTCCCTTCCAGACTCCATTTATCTTTTGTTTTTATGTATTTATTTAGTTTTTCCCTTCTAAAAGCACAGAAAGTATGTCAGAAAGAACCTTACACGACGTGAGCCTATCATGTCCTTTTTCTGAGTCTGAAATGACCAGCGGCCACTGGAGGAAGCTACACCTGGCTGCTCAAAGCCCTGCCCCTTTTCACCTCTGTTGCCCGTGTACCACAGGTAGAAAAGAAATAGGATTTTGTTTGGGATGTTTTGATATCCTGTATGTCCCTCTCTGGAGTAAGGGCAAATAACGGCGTTTTATTTTTGTTTAGTCATTGGTCTAATTTCGCTTTGCTCTTCAGAAAGTCACCATTTTGCTCTTCCTTTCTCACCAGCAGGTCTTCTACTGGACTCACCTGTTCTACATCCCCGTCTGGGCTTTGCTGATTGTTCACGGTGCCAATTTCTGGAAGTGGTTTGTGATCCCTGGATCTCTCTTCCTTGGAGAGAAGGCCTTTGCAGCTGCTTTGTCACGTGTCGGTGGCTTGTACATTGTGGAGGTCAACCTTCTACCCTCCAAGGTGAGTTCCACAATGGAAGGAAAGGAAACGGAAACGGGTCTCAGCGTATGTAACGTGCTGGTGAGACTAGAAAAGGAACAACGGCTTCTGCCTAATTGTCCAGTGAATCCCTACCACAAAAGGGTCCCCGTGTTCTTTCTTTTGAAATCCAGGTGACTCATTTGGTGATTCAAAGGTCCCCCTTTTTCCACTACAAGCCTGGTGACTACGTGTACCTGAATGTTCCGGTCATCGCCCGGTATGAGTGGCACCCCTTCACTATCAGCAGCGCTCCAGAGCAGCCAGGTAGGAGACTGACCATCTGAAGGGCAGCTGCATGCCTCTCAAGCCCAGGGCTTTGATGGGAGCAGTCCCCTCCATGTCAAAAGCAGTGGCTCCATTCTCTTTCGGACGTTCCCTCCCTTCCCAGACCAGCCAGGATGCTGAGAAATGGGGCGCCTTGAATGCCCATGGAGCTGCCCAGCACCTCCTGGCTTATGGTCAGGGGTGGGATTCTACCAGTTGGCAGCTATTTGCTAGAACCCGTTGTTAACATTCTAAGCAGTTTGGAGAACCGGTTGTTAGAAGAAATTAATTAATTCCCCCCTGGGAATTCTCTCAGTAACAGACCCAACCTCACTGGGTTTTCAAAAATCAGCCCAGATCAGGCAATTGCTGCCACTTGCTGGGAGTCTTGAAATGGAATCCTCAAACAAACTGGAAACCAGTGTAGCCCTAGTTCATACAAGCAGCCGCATCCTGGACCAACTGTAGCTTCGGAAGGTTGTTTAAAGGTAACCAGCTTAGAGTCCATCCAGATACGAGATCATTAAGGTGCGTGTCCATTTGGGCAGATCCGACACCCCAGAAATGGAGAGAGATGGGATGGTCCCAGCCTCAGGCGAACAGGGCTGGCCAGCTGCTGTGGCCTGAGCTTAAGATTCAAGATTGGACCTGTTGAACCCCTCAATGCAAACCTCACGGCAGCCCTATTGTATTTGGCACAGTGAACCCGCTAGGTCTCAATTCTGTCTTCCGGGGATGTTGGATGAATGGAAAGCAAAGTGTTCAAAGGTTTGATTTGTCCCTCCCCTTCACTGCTCTATATCCTACCCAGAACTTGCCACCTCAAGGAAATGGATTCCAGTTCATATTATCACTTTATACCCGTAATGGCGAACCGATGGCCTGCGTTTCACAGGTGGCATTGCAGACCCATTTGTGTGGGCATGCGAGACCCAGGCAAACTTACCTCACTGCGCATGCGTGCGCCTCCCGGCTGATTTTTGGCCTGTTTGAGGCCTTTTTCCGCCTCCCAGAGGCTCGAGGGAAGCCTCTGCAGCCTTCGGAGGCCGAAAAACAGGCCTGTTTCGTCACTTCCTGTATTTCTGGAAACACTGGAAGTGACCGAAATGGGCCCATTTTTCTGGGAGGCCGAAAATCAGCTGGGAGGCACAGTGCAGGTAAGGGGGCAGTGGCAGCATGGGGGGAGGGGGGAATCACACACACATGCGCAGGGTGTCTGGGGTGCGCGCATTGCCTTCTGAGTGCTGGCACGCGAGCCCCAAAAGGTTAGCCACCACTGCTTTATACTCATCTCTAGTGTTGGCTGTCCTTCGACCTACTAATTTAACCAGGATCTTCTCCTTCTCTTCAAAGAGACCATCTGGCTGCATGTTCGATCACTGGGACAGTGGACTTACCAGTTACATGAATACTTCTGGAATTTTCAGGAGCCTTTTGATGATAATCCTGAATCATCTGTGGCCAGAAAGTCAAGGAACAAGAACAGACTCTCAAGATTTGTGCAGGTTTGGAGTTCAAAATACCTTTCCTCTCTACTTAGTAGTTTTTCTAGTTCTCATTACTGGGTTATCTGTTACTAAGTTTGACTTGACGGATTGTCAGGGGTCCCCAACCTTAGCAACTTTAAGATTTGTGGATTTCAATTCCCAGAATTCTGGAAGTTGAAGCCCACAAGTCCTATGAGATTATCTTCCTCCGTGAACTACAGAAAATCATATCTGGTGACCTCATAGAATGCAATCCATCGGGGCCTCGGAGGTCATCCTATGTGTCGGGATTCTCAGTCATCCGGGTCATAGTTGTCTCAAAAGTGCTTTTTCAAAAGGAAACTGGACTGTTCTTTTCCTCGAGGAAGAAAAACAACACATTTTGTTTCTCATCCAAGAAACTTCATCGGTCGTGATGGTGGGGAGTGGGATGGAGAAAAGGGTCTGACAAGATGGTGGGAAAGGGGAAGTGGGAGGATTGTATTCCTTTGCAGTCCCCTGGTCTGTTAACACTCTCCGTGGGGGCTTAGTAATCTCTGTATCTGAAGTAGCGGGGAGGCTGTGTCACTGCTGTCAAACACATGTTATTTTGAAGAAATCTCAGCCTGCTGTAGATATTTGATGTAGATACAGTTTGATATAGATGTTTAGGATTTCCTGCTAGAACAGGGGTCTTCAAACTTGACCGCTTCAAGATTTCTGGACTTCAACTCCCAGAATTCCTCCTCCAGTCATGTTAGCTCAGGAATTCTGGGATTTGAAGTCCACAAGTCTTAAACTTGCCAAGTTTGAAGACCCTTGGGCTATAGAAGATCTACAAGGTCCCTTCCAACTCCGTTATTCTGTTGCCCCTGTGTAGAAACGGCCACTATATCACAGTACTACTGGCCCTAACAGCCACTTTGCACCTCACTAGAGTATCTTTATGAACTCTTTTTTTCAGAAGGGTCTCTTTTGTTCCTCTAACTTGGACCTGCCAGTGGCAACTAATCAGGATGAGATGATCCAAATGGTATCATACACGCCCATCCAGGATTCCAGCATCACCGTAACAGATGAGCCTGAAGAGGTGAGCGCATAAACCAGGGAGGATAATTCTTGCATACTTTCTCACATAAAGGAAGGAAGGAAGGAAGGAAGGAAGGAAGGAAGGAAGGAAGGAAGGAAGGAAGGAAGGAAGGAAGGAAGGAAGGAAGGAAGGCAGGCAGGCAGGCAGGCTTGTTTTCTATTTCAAAGTAGAAGCTGAAGCTGCAAGGCACTGACTAAATGGCATCAACTTATTTTCTACTTGATATATATATATATATATATGTGTGTGTGTATATTATTTTTATCAGGTTTCTGGCAGGCCCATCAAGAATCGTAGGCTCTGTAACATCAAGGTAAGCTTTCCCTCACTAAGCACCTATTCAGGGGGGAATTCTGTCTCTGAGAAGGTGCATTCTCAATTTGAAGGCCTGGCAAGAAATGAAGGGCAATTGTGTACCAGGGGGAGGTTCTGACATTTGGGTTGTGGTCGCGGTCTGCAGAATTCAAAAAGAGTGCTGTAAGGGAGTGGAGTTGTAGACATTTACGAGTAAAAAGAGGTGGGATTTGAAATGAAAGGAGGGAACCCAGTCCCTTCGACGTTTGGAAAAAAACACAACTGGTGGAAGATTATATTTTCCTGCAACGTTTGCCCCATTAAAAAGCTAGCACCATACACCTTTTTTTTGCAAATGTTAACGCTCCTTTGCAAAAGGCTGTAAACTCAGCAAGAATGTAATGCTGAGGACTAGGAAACGTGTCCCTTTTCATGAATTAAACAGCGCAATATTCCTTTGCTTAATCTAGACATGTCCTGTGTTTCAGTGGGGCTAGTGGGGAAAACTGGTGAAATCCTCTGGCAGAGGTCTAGTCAAGACAGTGAAACATCCCCAAGACCCCCCAACAGCAATTACAGTGTTCTAAGTATATTATTCCCACGGGATTTCATCACTTCATTTCTATCCTGCCACCAAAATAACCTATGGCAGAACCAAAAACAGTTGTCTAACCCAGGGGTCTCCAACCTTGGCCACTTGAAGACTTGTGGACTTCAACTCCCAGAATTCCTCAGCCAGCAAAGTCCACAAGTCTTCAAGTGGCCAAGGTTGGAGACCCCTGGTCTAACCAACAAGAGGTCACAGGCAAGTTTGGCTGAACAATGGGAAATTCTATTTGAAACCATCACCATCCCATCTTATCATCCCTGCCAAATCAAGAGAAATCCTGTCATTTTGTCATGCCTGCTTGCCCAGTATCATGAACTAAAGAACTTAACAAACTCTCTCTCTGTGTGTGTATGTGTGTGTGTGTGTGAATGTAATCTGTTATCACCAGGATGATGAGGGGATTGGAGGCTAAAACAAACAATGAACGGTTGCAGGAACTGGGCTTGGCTAGTCTAGGGAAGAGAAGGACCAGGGGAGACAGGAGAGCAGCCTTCCAATATTTGAGGGGCTGCCACAGAGAGCAGGAAGGGGGTCAAGCTATCTTCCAAAGCACCCGAAGGCCAGACAAGGAACAATGGATGAAAACTGATCAAGGAGAGATTCAACCTGGAAATAAGGAGAAACTTTCTGACAGTGAGAACAATCAACCCATGGAACTGAAGTTGCCCTCGGAAGTTGTGGGAGCGCCATCGCTTGAGACTTTCAAGAAGAGACTGGACTGCCATTTGTCAGAAATGGTATAGGGTCTCCCGTTTGGGCGGGGGGTTGGACTAGATGACCTATAAGGTCCCTTCCAACTCTGATTATCTGCAATCTGTGTCCCCAGAGGAACATTTAAAAGCCTCATAGTGCGTTTGACTCTACAAAGTCTGCCCTACATTCAGAAGCCTCCGGCTGCAAGGAGAAGGAAGGTAGCAACCCACCCTTGCCAAGCCCAGGGCCAAAACACAGCGGATCCTTTTCCCTCCTCTCTTCAGTGTTACATTGATGGTCCCTATGGCACTTCCACGCGCCGGATCTTCTCTTCAGAGCACGCGGTGTTGATTGCGGCAGGAATTGGGATCACCCCCTTCGCCTCCATTTTACAAAGCATCATGTTCAGGTTGGTCTGCCAGAGATCAGAGTCCAAGCTGTAGCAAAATGCTGCCTTAGCATCTTTTTTGTAATAATGTGGTGACCAAAACTGGACGCAAGTATTCCAAGGGTGGTCTTACCAAGGCCCTGTGAAGCGGTGCTACCCCTCTGTTGAGGCAACCCCGGATTTCATTGGCTTTTTTGGCACCTGCAGCACATTGCTGGCTCTCAAATTGAAGCAATTTCCGTTCGGACTCCAAGATTCCTCTCACGGCTACTGCTATCGAGCCAAGCTTCCCCTATTCTGTGTCTGTGCATTTGGTTTTATTTGCTTGCTTTCTTTGTTATTGACTCTACTCATTCCTCTTCCCAGGCATCGTATGCGCAAACAAGCCTCCTGCAGCCACAGTAATTCTTTGGATGAGAATATGAAGCTTCAGAAGGTGAGAGATGCGTGCAAGTAGCTTGGAATTCCCTCAAAAATAGCATTTTTATTCCTAAAACCCTCGAAGCCATTGTGCCTGAAGGAATCCTTCTTACAGAACATCCTTCCTGGAATCCTAACCTGACTATTGGAGGCCCTTGATCCTTTCCAGGCGAGGGAGTTTTACAGGATAACCCCTGAAGCTGGAAAATTCTCCTTGCCTAGTCTCTAATCATGGATGGACTTTTTCGTGCCTGTTGAAAGTCTTTCTCCTCTTCCCTGACTTCTAACCTTTTTCTAAACACTTCATCTCCATTAACAAGTGGCTGCTCTAGTAGTTTTTAATTTCGTTTTCAAAACACGGTTCAAAAGCCAATGTAGAAATGATATTTTGAAAGGGACGGTAGTATTTACATTTGTAAATAAGTAAAATGATGGCAACCCCAATTGGGATGGCAACTTGGTTGTTCAGCAAACCTGTTGCTATGTGAAACTGCTCCTGTGCTAACCGTTTTCCTTCAGCTTCCCTTTACTTCACAGACCTGTGAAGGTTATAAATGAAAGGACCGCTCATAAAGTTACCACCGTTAACTCCAAACTGTGGCTGGAATAAAGAAGCAGTTGTTTTATACAGGAGGGATTCCCTGTTCTTTCTCGTCTCCAGGTAGACTTTGTTTGGATCAATCGAGACCAGAAATCCTTTGAGTGGTTCGTCAGCCTGCTTACCCAACTGGAAGGCCTGCAAGGCAATGAAGAGCCAACCGGTGGGCGCCTGCTTCCTCCCGGTCTTCCTTCGCCCCCATCCCAAACGGGGCCCTTTGTGTTTTATGCAGGAATGGCCTTTGCACAGGGGGGGTGGGGAATTCTGATTTCTTAACAACCGGTTCTGTGGGTGTGGCCTAATTTGTGGGTGTGGCTTGGTGGTCACATGATTGGCTGGGCGTGGCTTGTATGTAAATATTATAAAGATTTAGGTAAACATTTATTTTTTTTGTAAAAAAGAGCCACTTCTGCCCAAAATCAAGCAAAGCAGGCAGGCAGGCAGATTGAGTTGCTCACAGAATCACAGATTCAGAGATCTATCTATCTGCCATCGGCTAGCTCAGTCTGTCACATAAAATTTGCTTGCAAGCAAACTCACAAAATTAACTCACAGCACACTATGTATGTAAATATTGAATTTTTTATTTAAAAAAAGAGCAACTTTTACCCCAAATCAGGCAAAGCAGGCAGGCAGGCAGATTGAGTTGCTCACAGAATCACAGATTCACTCAGAGATCTACCTTTCTGCAATCTGCTACCTGAGTCTGCACTGAAAAATAGAAGCTTCGGTCCTAAGGAAGGTTCAGCTCTGCTTTTAGATTAGCTAGAAAGCAAGAAATCCAAGGATTTTGTACTTTCTAGCTAATCTAAATCTCCCGGCACAGCAGAACAGCTGATGGTTGGGGGTGGGTGGGAATAGCAACTTACCAAAGGCAGGCAAGCTGGATGGCCAGGGAAGGAGTGAGTGGGTAGAGCGGAGCAGGGCCAGCCAGTGGAGCGATTTGCCGGTTCTCCGAACTGTGCAGAATCATAACAACTGGTTCTATAGATCTGGACCAACCAGGTAGAATCCCACTTTGCTTCTGCAGCCTTAAGACTGGACCAAACTGAGGCAGTGGCAAAATCCAGACAGAAAGAGTTTGATTCCGTGTTCTTTTTCTTTCCAGAGTAGCCTAGTGCAGGCTCAGGGGTGGGTGGAATACCCTTCTCTCCCCTTTAGGCAAGCCTTCCCCTTTTGGGCTTTCTGAGGAATATCAAACCAGGCGGACGAGGGACTTGCGGCCGGCAGCCCTCCTTGTCCATGTGGTCATCCTTGGTTTCAAGCTCTGATGCTTAGGTGCTGTTTGCAAGCATGTGCACGCACCTACACCCGGAAACAAGCTTTTCTAGAGCGGAATGGAACTCTGGCTCCAACCAGTTCTGCCCATTAGGTACTAGATGCAGTCTTGTTGGTGCATCTTCTCACCAGTGCTGAAGACAGAGGTTCGAGAAAGGGGGCCATGACGGGGTCTGCTAAAGCCGCCTGGTTTTCCAATTCCCAGCCCGTTTCCTGGAGATGCATTTGTACATGACCGCGGCCCTTAACAAGAGTGACATGAAGGCTGTGGGCCTGCAGATGGCCCTGGATCTACTGGCAAAAAAGGAAAAGAAGGACTCCATCACGGGCCTCAGGACCAGGACAAAGCCGGGGAGGCCAGACTGGAAACAGGTGGGTTTTTCCTCCGAGCCACACTTAAAAAGACGTAGTCATGTGGTGGTAGCTCAGTCCAGATTCCAAGTTGGTATCTCTCCCCTTGGACAAATTCTTCCCTGCAGTTTGTTTTATGGCCAGACACCCCGCTCTGGAAGTCTGAACAAAAGCTTTTAATGACAAGCAACGCCGGGACAACACAAGAGAAAGTCTTCCCAACCAAGAAGCAGCAACAAGTATCTTTTATACCCTTAAGCAAGCAGTAAGAAAGATTAATATACCAATCGGCAAGATAGTGATAGCCTACGTACCTGGCACCTATCCATAGTCCGAGGGCAGGGACAGGTCAATTCTAGTATCAGGTGGAGTTGCTTAAGCTACCTGGATTTTATTCTCCCTCGGACACAAGGTGCCACACCCTGGACCGCTGGGGAGCTAAAACCTATCCTGGATCTTAGTGGATCCTTGCAAGCAGACCTCTGGCTGGGGGGGGAGTGCGCAGGGGGTTGGAGTGGAAAGGTTGCAGCAGTTCTCTCTTTAGAAATTGCTACAACCCAATGAATCACACCAAGCTAGCTCCTGAATTCGCCAACCTCTCCAAATGTATTAGACCCTATTTATCTACACCTTATATCACGTGGCATCTTTCATGTCTTCCTCCTTTGCTCTGTTGCCAAGTCGGAGGCGATTCTTTCAGGGCAGTAGCCATATTTCAAGCAGGACGGCATGCTTTGGATATCCCCTCTCAAAAGGATGCCGTGATAAACAATTGCAGCCTTAATTACAAGGAAAGGGGTACAGAAAACTCTATGGTACCCGGTCCCAGGTTTTTCCGCTTACGCTTGGAACCTGGGTAATGTTCTACAGTCATAAAACTAACGTGGGACAACCATAATAGGGCATCGTAGAGTTTTCAGTATCATTTTGTGCCACTGAGTAGCCACCTGGAGTTTTTCCGTCCAGCTATATAAGGCTGACGGCCCAAATTTGCAAACTCTCAAAAGAAGGCCTCTCTGGGCTCTTTGGGGACCTTTTTACATATAGGAAATCTCTGACACATATTTTGGAACAATATAAACGTTATCACAAGAAAGGAAGCCTGCCAGCTGAGGAGGGGGGGTTGCGATTCCCCCGGACCCCTGCTGGATCTCCCCTGTCTTCAGTCACCTCTACGGGGTAACGATTAGCCCCCAAATCCGGCTGGATCGGGGGCACTCCAGCGGCAAGCACAGCAGGAACCACGCACGATTGCAGATTCCTGCCGCCGCCGGATCCTTGCAAACCAGAAGTTTTGAGATCTTACTGAGAAAGGGAGGAGGCAGACATTGAGGTAGGCAGGCCGAGAGGTCGATTGGAGCTGCTGATGGCTTTTTCTCTCTTTCTCAGCTCTTTCAGAAAATCGACAAAGACGACAAAGGAGAAGTCCAGGTTTTCTTTTGTGGCTCTCCAGCTCTTGCCAAGGTTGTCAAAGCTCAGTGTGAACAGTTCACCTTTCCCTTTTTCAAGGAAAACTTCTAGCTGCAAGATGTCAGATATTTTTTGCTCCTTTTGACCAACGTGATGATGTTTAGCTTGTTTTTAACTCTATGTAAAAAAAAAACACTAGAAAGCATTTGTGTCCCTTTATCATTATAATAGTTTGCATAGTCAGCCAAATGTTTATGCTGGATTTGGCATTTTTAGCCACCTATAAAGTTCTTCCCAAGGACCTGGATCAGACAGATGTTGTTGTTTGATGGTGTTAAATACAAATCATTATCATGTATAATTATATTAGATGATGATGATGATGATGATGATGATGATGGAGACATGCACAAGGTTTCCACAGAGCTGGTAAGAATCTCTTTGCTTGCTTGCTTATTTAATACAAGCCAGGAATGGCAGCCGGAAGAAGCGTTTGCAGCTTTGTTTCATTATTTTGCCATCACACCGCTTGCCCTGAAAAGGAAAAGCCTGCAACAATATACCGTAGTCGCATTCTTGCTAATTCTTTTGCACGCTTTTCTTCTTCAGATACTCGGAGATACTTATCTCCCACTATGATTATTTTGCCTGCTTCAAGTAGATACACATTTCTGAGCTTGGCTTTCTCCCCCACTCCTTCTAGTTCTTTTAACCGGAAGAGGGAGCTCCAACACAAACGTTTCTTTAAAATTAAATTCAAACCTCCAATCTCCTTTTTTTCCACAATTAACCATTAAGAATCAATACTAGCAATTCAATTAATATAAACAATGAAGATGAGGGAATACAAAGTAAAACACAAATGACAAGAGATATAGAAATCCCAACAAAATTATAAATTTCCAATATAACACAATTATATCTGAATGTATTATGCTGTTTTAACAGATGAAAAACATGAATACTAAGAACTGCAACAGATGTCAATCATTTTTGTCCTACAACTTATTAAAGCCCTTGTCCCCTTGGAATGGACTGCAAATATGTCTCTATTTCAACAAGGTTCCTATATTTACACCTCTATAATTTCATCACTTTTAGCTGTGATAGTTAATTTCTGTGTTGTTGTAACCAACAGAAAATCATAAAACAGAAATCCAAACTAGAACTAAGGAGGCATTTCCTGACTGTGAGAACAAAAGTTGCAGATGATACCAAGTTGGCAGGAATAGCCAACGCTCCAGAAGATAACAGGCTCAGAAGGATCTTGACAGACTTGAACACTGGGCCCTATCTAACAAAATGAATTTTAATGGTGAGAAAAGCAAGGTTCTCTATTTAAGCAAGAAAAACCAAAGGCACAGGTATAGACTAGGTGGTACATGACTCAATAGTAGTAACTGTGAGAGAGATCAGAGTCCGAGTACACAATCTCTTAAGGAGCCAGCAGTGGGCTGCAGTTGCCAAAAAGGTCAATACAGTCCTAGGCTGCATTAGTACCACTTTATAAGGCCCTGGTAAGACCACACTTGGAATACCGCATCCAGTTTTGGTTGCCGCGCAGAAAAGATGTTGAGACTCTGGAAAGAGTGCAGAAAAGAGCCTAATTATCCTAAGATAATTAGGAGACTGGAGGACAAAACCTACGAAGAACGGCTGCAGGAAAGGTCTGGTCTAGTGAAAAGGGACAGGGTGACATGATAGCAGTCTTCCAATATTTGAGGGGGTGTCACAAGAAAGAGGAGGGGGTCAAGCTATTCTCCCAAATACCTAAGGGCAAGACAAGAAGCCACCTGGAATTAAGGAGACATTTCCCGGCAGAACAATTATAACCAGTTAGGATGGCTTCCCTCCAGAAGTTGTGGGTGCCCCATCACTGGCGGCTTTCATGAAGAGACCGGACGGCCACTTGTCTGGAATAGCAATAGCCCTTAAGACATATATACCGCTTCACGGTGCATTTACACAGTGCACCTCTAAGCGGTTTAGAGTCAGCAGCCTATTGTCCCCCAAGAGTTTTGGGTCCTCGTTTTACTCACCTCGGAAGGACTGAAGGCCTTGAGCCTGGTGAGATTCGAGCTGCCAAATTGCAGGCAGCCAGCAGTCAGCAGAAGTGGCCTGCAGTACAGCCCTCTAACCACCGAGGAACGGTATGGGTCTCCTGCCTAAGCAGGGGGTTTGACTAGAAGACCTCCAAGGCCCCTTCCAACTGTTCCTCTGATGCCGTCTAGAGCCCTCTGGACATGAGAGGTTATGCCATCCAGGATTACCCTCTGGTGAGTGGAACCTGCCTGAATTAAACCAGGTACAACGTTTCTCGATTCGGGCAACTTTTAAGGCACGTGGACTTCAACTCCCAGGATTCCCCTGGCCAGCTGCAGGCGCTGAAGTTGCCAACGTGGCTCAGAACAGGCATCTCCAACCTTGGCTACTTTAAGACCTGTGGACTTCAACTCCCAGAATTCCTCAGCCAGTTTTGTTAGGTTCCAAGGCAAAGTCCTAGAGCGGTCCTGTAAAGACCCCAGAGCACCTCAGCATGGCTCTCGTTTGTAGTGCAGCCCACTGAGTGAACACCGCCGCGGTTTATTCGAGGCCCCCTGCCGCAGCCCTCCGGGTACGCCTCCCGCCAGAGACGTTTCCCCTGCGAGAGGCGCCCCCGACCTCGAAAGAAACCGCCAACACTGACTGCCAACAACGCTCCAGGCCGAGCGATTTCTGTCTCTGGAGAGAATAGGCCCCGCCCTTGCCGCTCTGCGATTGGCCACGGCTTCCTGCGCTGCACCGCGATTGGCCCCCCTCTAGCCTCCGCTGAACGACTCTGCGGAGACGCGGCACGCTGGCAATTGGGCGAGAAGGGCTTTAATTGACGGCGCCCCGCAGAGGCCCTCCCACCGAGGTGCTCTCGCGGGAAGTCAGCGGGAAGAGGGCGGGGCCGCTTTCCTCAGGGCCGAGCTGGCTGGACCGGGCAGAGTGGCCAGTGGGGCCGGAGGCGGCGGGACGCGTCCCTTCTCTCCCTCTCGTCTGCCTCCCAGCGGGAGGGGCTGTGGCTCGTCTCTTGGAGGGGGCGGGGCGGGGGTCCGCGTTGCTACGGAGACGGAGGCGCGCCAGCTGCTCCCGGCCTGGCGGGGCCTACCCCGAGGGGCTCGCGCGGGCGGCGGGACGGAGCGGCCCTTCCGATGCGGAGAGAGCCGGCGGCCGTGGTGCTCCTGCTCCGCCCGGGCCCCCTTCGACTCTCCGGTCTGGCGCCTCCTTGGCGCCGGCGGACGAAGTTCCCTTAAGCCAGTCCCGACGGCGGGGAGCGGCTGAGCAACTCGGAGCAAGGTCAGCCTGCGAGTTCCCGAAGGGCCGGGGTGTTGCTCGGAGCCTCCGTTCCCTCAGAAGGAGGCCTGCGGGCAGCCGCGCCGGGGCCCTCCCGGGGAGCGAGGCCCGGGGTGCCCGCAGCCGCTTCTTCGCCCCCGGGAGGGCCGAGGAGGACCGGCATGGAGCGGCTCATGAAAAAAACGTTATTTGGGGAGCCGCAAAGATCTGGAAATGGCTCCGGTCCTGAAATGTGAAATTAAAAAATGTTGCCTTTTCAAACTCCAATAGATTATATTACATATAATAACTGCAGCAGGAATAGCCTTTGCCCAGAATTGGAAAAATGACAGCATTCCCTCCGAGATTGTGATAATAAAAGAGGTTTTGGAGTGTGCAGAAATGGAGAGGCTTTCAATGGGGATGAAGGAGAGAGAAGAGAAATCTGGGATTGATGGGTATAATTGGCTGCAAGGTGGACACAGAATAGATGAAACGGAAGGTTATGGTGTGAGGAAATAATTTGGGATGAACAGGCATAACTATGTATACTTATGTATAAATATGTAAATCACAACGTAATATGAAAATATGACATAAACAAAATAATAGTAATATTTAGTAATATTCCTAGTATGTCAAAGTGAGCAAACACAAATATGCTGCAATGAATGGAAATATGTTTTTAATTGTTTTTTTAACTGTAGAATTTGTTTAATAAAGTTATTTAAGTATTTAAAAATGTTGTCTTTTCTCTCCCCCCTCCTCCCCCCCATGTGTACCCAAGTTCTCTGAAGGCTTCCAGGGCTCTGCCGGCATGGCGTCATCCCCCCAGGAGAGAGCGGAGTTCCCAGGCAAGACCTGCTGGGCTCTTGGCGCCTGCAAAACTCTGGCCCAAAGACATCCGATTTGTCGTCTTCTTATGGCGGCTTCTGCCTTGTGACCAATTAAAATATCCCGAATTTTAGGTGGTGAGTAGCATGGATCAGCATGATGCCGCTTAAAATTAAAGAACAAGAAGATATTAAGGAACAAGAATATTATATGGGTTGATATGGGATACATTTTATAAACGATTGGAAAACAAAGGAAAGAAATTGAATGAATGTAAAAGAAGATGTAATGAGAATGCTATAACGATAAGAGAGAAAAAGGATGAAATTTTCAATATGAATGTAAACCTTAATAGCATGAAATGTATATCGGATATGAATATGTGCACAAGATCTATGTACCCTGTTAAGACACCGTTGAAAAGATGGTCATTTTGTAAAAGAAAATTAAATTTTTAAAAATAATAATTTAAAAAAGCATGATGCCATTTAGATCAGGGGTCTCCAGCCTTGTCAGTTTTAAGCCTGGAGAATTCTGGGATTTGAAGTCCTCCAGGCTTAAAGTTGACAAGGCTGGAGACCCCCTGATTTAGAGGAACGTCCTCACTACTTTGAGATCGTCTTCAGCTGGCCCCCGTGTGCGCATGGGATGCTTCCTGATATGCCACACACCCGGGGGGGGGGGGGGGGGGGGGGGGGCCCCCCCCCCGTTTTGGGGGGGGGGGGGGGGGGGGGGGCAAAGGGCCTCCCTGCAATGTTCATGGGGTGTGATGGAAGGCCTGTCATTGGCTTCTGAAGCCAGTTCACGTCCCTGGAGCAATGCACCTGTCCCCTGGCTGTTTGGGCCTTGGCTCTTTACAGATGCACTGATGGCCTCTTTCGTCTCCTGCTGCTTAGCACCTGTTGCTTTTGTGCCTAGATTTGTGTCCTGCTTTTTGAGGGCGAGTGCCTTTCCCTAGATTGTAAGTGACACTTAGCGCATACAGCCCAGGAGCTCTTGGTTTGATGGATGAGCCGTCCCTTTGATCTGTAGTCCTGGGACTGTTAATTGTCAGGTGTCTCGTGTCTTAATGGATGAGGAAAGCCTTCCCCCCCCTCCCCCCCTTGCCACAATGTCCTTTCTTCCTTCCCTCTGGGAGGCCTTGGCTCCTCTTGCTAATGACTGGAGCCAGTGTATTGCCTGTCTGGTCTCTCATGCAAGGCCCTGTGGTGAAGGATTTATAGCCCTTAATGAAGGAGTGAAGGCTACTTGAGACACTGGATGGACTCTGTCATAGGAGTGAGTGGGTTTCACCGGTTCTTTACTGGTACCATCTGTTGGAACTTTGTGAGCAGGCACATCTATTGCGTACAATAGAGTGGCTAAACTATCTCAGCAAGCTTCCATCCATTCTTCCATATTTTCCTTCCATATTTTTCAGGTGAGCTAGTTTGAAATATTCGGCTACACTTTTATGCTCGTTTTCAGGAGGAAAGCTATGCATTGTTGGTATTATAGAGCATGGGTGTCAAACTGGCGGCGTCACGTTGCTATCGCATGTGGTACGCAACATTTTCTACCTTCACGGAGCTGTGGTGGGCATGGCCTGTGTGTGATGCATCAGGCTCGTGGGCTGCCAGTTTGCTATAGAGGAAACTGAGGCTGCAGTAGCTTCTTGAGGT